AATAATAAAATAAATTAATAAAGAGCATGAAAAATTTGTGCGGTGAACACTAATTGTTTTAATGGTATTTGGTACCAATTAATCATAGAATCGTTCAATGAAAAAAAATGTTTGTAAATAATTTTATTTCATCCTCAATGGTCTGTTTGAAAAAATGTATGTATGTTGGGTAAAAAAATGAGGTGTTGAATTAGAAATATAATTAAACATGATATTATACACTTTTGGAAAAAATAATTCAACTAAAATAAAAATAAAAATAAATGTGTTTAGTGAAGTTGGGATGCTTATCAAAGTGCAAAACATGATGGTAATAAAAAAAGAAAAATGATAAAATAATAATAACAATAATAATAATAAAGCATGTAATGATAGTAAACGTGAAAGTGTAATGCACTGGCAATCCTAACCCTTAATACATGTGTGAAGGATGTGTGCTGTTTATCCCTAAATATACACTAATCCACAAAAATTTAGGATTATAAGATTTAGGATTGTATGCAATTCCTCAAAGTTCATTTCATCTCTTTTATGGCACCCTACTTGGTGACATAAACCCATAAAGATTTAGGAACTTTAGGAGTGTTTCAAAGTAAACTTACAAGACCAATTTTTTTGTAATGTTAATGAGAATTAATTGTGGACTAAATAATCACAAGATAGATTGTTATGGGTAGTGTGGTAATGCTATGTTAAGGTATAATGAATAGAAGACCAATCTATGCATATTAAATGGTAAGTGGTAAAGAAGTGGGGACTTCATCATAATTATTTTGTTGTTGGTATTTGGTAAGATTGAAGAGAAGAGTTTGTGTAAATTTTTGCACAATTTTTTGTACAAATCAAGAATTTTTGCTATTTTTTTTAGACAATAAAATGGAAAGAATTAGACATCTCATTGATTATGTGTTCATTGATCAATTTTTCTTTTACAGATAATTTTAACTCTAATTTTTTCCCTTATGTTTAGATATGATTTTGATGTTTATTAAATAAAAGAGAGTTTGATTAATTAAATATAAATAATTCATTTTGCTAAAAGCCATAATATCACTGATTAAAAAAAGATATCAGTCATTAAATTTCATGGAAATCGAATACATATATATATATATATATATATATATATAGAATTAAAAAATAATAAATTGTTTACAATAAACATCGGTAAACTCTTTGATAAATGATAATACTTCTATTTTAAAATATTGAAAATATTCATAATTGAAATAGAAACCATACATGGAAAACCATCCACTTTCCAATGATTTACAAACACATATATTAGTTTTTCAATTTCCTTTATTAAAAACTTAGAAATTATATTTTATTACTTTTTTTGTTTGCCATGTATAGTTTCTATGGTTTTCTGAATTTATTTGTTTGATTCATATTACATTCTTGGTAATGCAAAGCATAGATGAATGTCTACAATATGGCTATCCTTGAAATGTAAACAAATGAATTAGGCATTGGAAGTAGGCAAAACTTGACCCTTATCAGAAAGGATGTATCATGGTCATGTAAAATTATCACTTCTCATATCTAATTTTAATTTTTTAACATGACGTCAATTTAAACAATAACAATCAGCATAATGTTCATCATGATAAAATGTTTGCAAATTTTAACTTTATATTTACCAAAAGTTGTAAGTTCTTTTCTTTCATCACTTCAATGTTTACAAGTATTACAAGAACTATGTGAGAGTTTATAATATAAATACCAAACATCACTTACACAAGTATATTGTGAAGATGATACTCAGATAATTATTGGAGAAAGGATGTAGAACAACAATGCAACATAAATTTTAAGTGCAAAAATGCAAAAAATCAAAATAAAACAATAGTGAAAAAAAACATAAAGACAAAAAATCATGTAGAACCGAATCATCTTTATTTGCTATTTTTTTATTTAAAAAATTACATTGGTCTTCAACACAACGTTGCAATGATTGTGAATCTGCAAAAACACGGTAAAAAACACAATGAAAAAAATAATTGTTTATATTAATTTTATTCAATATTAACAGTGAAGCAAGCATGGCTTGCACTATCAAATAAATTGTAAACAAAGCTATAATGCTGAGAATGTGTTGCACTTTTCAATTATATATTTATTTCACAATATACAGCGCAAAGTATTCAAGATAATAGTGTAAACAAATAATAGCTGGTAGTATGAAAAAGTCATCAAAATGATTGAATAAATGCTACAAAAATATCAACAAGAGTTACTCAATTATTAAATTTTAAAGCACTATTTAAATCGATTTCCATGTTTGTCTTAGTAATTTGTATATTATCATTTTTTTTTGTAATTATTTTGAAAGAGCCTATCAAGGTGCCTATTAAAATGATTACTAAAAAAAAAGTGTGGTGATACTTAAAACACCGAAATTAACAAATAATAATGAATTAGGTTTTTACATATTTATAAGTTTTGTCTAAAACGAAGCAGTAGGTATTATTCTAAATCATATGGTTATAAACTCTTGTCATGCAATAGTCAAATAATTATGCTTATATATATATATATATATATATATGTATATTCCCACATTTGTAAATTGGTTGATTGATTGATTTGAAGTTAAAGTTCTCTTTTTTTTTTTTTTTATCTTCATGAAAATCTACTATGAATGTTTTAAAACGTTAGTGATGCCACCAAAATTATTATTATTACACGATTGTTTGAGTGATCCTACAAAATCACAACTAGTTTTACCATCATAATTGATGGTAAATGAATAAATAAACAGCTAATTATTGTGAAATATTACTGCATGAATGCTTGTGTGTTTTTTGGAAAAGAATATGTTATTTTTTCAAAATTTATTAATTAATGGAAATTTGAGTACTTTCGATGAACAAAATAAACCAGTTACAATAGAAAAAATCATTGTGTTGTATCTGCATCTTAAAATTAAATGTATTCCACAAATCTGGGTCTTCCTTATCATAATAAAGACATTTGATTTTTACATGTCACCAGTTTTTTTTTATTTTATATATATATATATATATATATGTATATATTTTTTGACATATGTCCTACCAGTGTCTTCGTGCATTACACTGTTAGTTCTAATACATTATTGCACAAGTAGCTCATTAAAAATTTGCTTTCAAGGAAATTTTGACATATTTGAATTTTTCAAAAGTGTTTCTCACAAATAAGTGTGTAAAAATATATAAATATATGTATATATATATATATATATATGTATAGATAATAAAGTGGAATATGGCGTTGACTTGTGTTTTCATTATGGGAACAATGAGATGGATACCCTCCCTTTAATTGCATGGACATCGTTTATTCCACGCATCCCCACATACAGACAATAAATGTTTTATGTACCCAAAACAGTTTTAGGGTAAATTGACAATAGAAGATTCTATTAACGAATTTAATATGCTTTTTAAAGTGAATGAATAAATTACGTAAAATGTGGTATAAATTTTTTTATCAGAAAACGAAAAATTAATAATGAAAAAAGTGTAACATAAATATTTTATTGTAAATTTACTATAATTTGTTTTTAGTGTAAATAAGGATTTTAATGTGTGTATGACATAGAGGTGAGCATACAATTCCCTTCTTTATTTCATGGAATAATCATGCCTTAAATGATTTCATATTCTTCTTCTTCTTCTTTTTTATTCCCTTTTTCTTTCTTTCTTTCTTTCTTTCCTTTTTTTTTTTTTTTTTTTTTTTTTGTAGTAGAAAAATCTCCATGAATATTTTTATTTCAGATTTTATAATTATAAAATTGTAAGAGTTCACGTTGTGTGTAAGAAACGTTTTTTTGAGAAAGTATCAGACAATGTACTTTTTGAACTGTGTTGGCATCTAAAACTATTGGGTATTGCTGTTGGCTAGCATACCCAATTCTCATTAAACCCTAAAACTTGCAAGGAAAAAAATATTTACAAGTAAAAAATGGATACTACCTGTTGTTATAAAGTTGAATGAGATTTAAAATTGTATTGTTATTAAATATAGAATTTGGCACAACTCTCAAAGGAGGAGATGTTAGATGCATGAAAGGCAATTTGAAGTAAGTTTATGGGGTGGGTGAGGGCCAATGTCAAATTAACTTTATCTAATTCATTCAAAATTATGTTAAAAAAAAATTGAATGCATAACTCTCCGATCTCTCTTATCTTTTTATAGATTTTGATTTCCAATTGTTAATAAAAAGACTTTTCATCTAGAACTTCTTTATGATTAATTTTTCTGGATGGTTTTCATGTTAGAACTCACACACACACACACATATATATATATATATATATATATATATTAAAAAAAAAGGAGAATGTTAAATAGTCCAAGATTTTACTAGATTGACCCATCCATCATGAAAAGGAAGAAAAACAAAATAATGACCTCTAGATTTATTTCTCCACTATTGGATCCAATGAAAAATCAATCACATCCATTATAAAGAATACAACTGTGCATTCTTTGTCTTGCATGTTGAATACCATTTTATTTATTTGTAGAAACACAAATTATTTATTTATTGATATTTATTTTTTGATAGGAATGAACATCAAACAAACAAACAAACAAACAACAACAAGGAGAGTGTTCAAGGAGAGCTCCAAGTGGCGCTGGGAGTGTTCTTGTTCGTGATGCGGGTCTTCCCATCCAAGACCAGGAGTCCACATCAGCAATATACAAATAAATAAATTAAAATATATAAATATGTATAAGTCTGACTTGGCAGAAGGGCACCACGAATATTCCCCCACCCCACACACACCATTCCCCTCCGTTCATTGCTGCATTCGATGAATGAACCAATTGATGAATGAATGGAACCAGGGCTCTCTCGAGGGGGTCCGGTGCCCGCGGATTAGATCTGGGAGACAAGGGGGGATAGGGGGCGGGATCCGGTGGCCGTGGGATCGGGAGAGAGAGCTTTGTGCCAAGAGAGAGAGAGAGAGAGAGAGAGAGAGAGAGAGAGGGGGGGAGGGAGTTGTGGTGTGTGTGAGCTGTGCTAAGTGAGTGCCGTGCTGCTGCTGTGGACGTGGCCCCTCCTTCCCCCCGTTTCTTTGTGCACTCACTCACTCCCTCCCTCCCTCCCTCCCTCCCTTTCCTTTTCCTTTTCCCCCTTTCTTCTTCTTCTTCTTCGTCTGCTGCTTGTACTCTTCTTACTTCGCCATCGCCAGCGAGGTAGTCTCCTTCCCGGACAAGCACTTGGGAGTTCCAGCTGCGTCGCCTGGCCTGCCTGGCTGCCTAGAGAGGAGGAGGGCCAATAATACCAGGAGGAGAGAGTGGGAGAGAGAGCGAGAGAGAGTGAGAGAGAGTGAGAGAGGAAAGGGCAGTCGAAGCAGGAGAGCAGTGGAAGCGTCGGAGGTAGGGGTGGGTGGGTTTGTCATTTCTCCATGTTGGATTGAGTGTGTGGGGGCGGGTATTGAGCTTGCTGTATTGAGGATGAGATGGGATGGGATGGGATGGCTGGGTGGATTGATTCGCAAGCAGAGCTCCAGCACCATCAGCAGCTGAGAGTCACGAGTTTTGTGGGTTTTGTAACATGGGTTGTGTTGGGGTAGATTTTATCTATTCATTTCTCTTTTGTGAACGTCTCTTTGACGTTGAATGGATTTTGAGTCGAGGGTGTTGTGAAAGGAGTTTTGGTTGGAGGAATGTGAGGAGATGAGCTGCTGGGTTGAGTGTTAGTAGTGGGGCTTGGTGGGTTGGGATGTGATGGGTTGAGACGAGTGATTTGAGTTTTTTGTGTTTCAATTTATGTTGTTGAATTTGGGAGGATGTCGTGTGATTTGTCGTGGAGTGTCGGCATTGAGTCAGTTCAAATCTGGGCGTTCGATTTGGGATGCGTTTTCATGCACAAATCTGTTTCTTGCATTGTGTTGTCGCTCTGCCGTGCGGGTGAAGTCGGAAGTTGACAGACCTACGTGTGGAAATGCATCTGTGAAACGTATTTTTCTTACGCATGCCTTCGCAGACTTTGAGATTAGTGATCTCTGAGGATGTGTTCGGTCATTGGTAGATTTGGTTGAGGAGTTTGACAAGAGAGTGCGCAGTGGCAGTGAGTTATTTCGGGATCCTGATTGTGAGCGAACACTCTTTGTGATTCTAGCTTTGTCCGCACATTGGTGCTTAACTCTCTTTCGTCGTCGAGCTTCCGCTGTTGTTTACTCATTTTCGTTTTGGGCTTTGTTGAGGACTTTCAGCAGGTGGGATGCGGAGGAGAGTAGTTGGCTGTGGGGGGGGATTCATTGATATTCTTTTGACATTCTCGCGTCTCTCTATTTTCGACCGAGACGGTGCATTTTTTGCTTTGGGGATCTCGGCATGGTGCTGTGTCAGTGGCTGATCCTGTGCTATGCAACCTGACGCATTGTTCTCTCTCTCTCTCTCTCTCTCTCTCTCTGGTTAGGACAAGTTACTCGTTCTTGGATCTGACTCTTTTGAGGTCGCCGTCTGTCTGTTTCAACGTTGCCGCGGTTTGTCATGTTACAGGCACCTGATTTGCTCGTTCTGTAGTTCTTGGTTCCACAGTAGGCATGCACGAAGCATATCTTTACACATTCTGAGTGCAAGGAAAGACAATATCAGGTTGGGTGCTTGGGAATGCCCGGTGGTTCTTGACCTCCGTTGGCGAGCTCCCACCTGGTTATCTCCTGTGAAACGTCTGTTCCAACTGTTCACCCTTAAATCCTCTAGTTCTTGTCAGTTCATTGGATCGGATTCTGCTTTTATTCAGAATCCCGACATCGAACTAGTTGTTGCTCTGATTGCGCGTGCATTCATTGTCGTTTGGAGCTGAGACTTTGCGGTGTTGTATTTCTCTATGTAGACTCCTTCTCAAGAACTCTTTCGGTATTTAGGAGTTTGTGGATATATATATACATATAGAATTTTGTTGCGGTTGCACCTATTTCGTGGGCATTTGTTCCTCATAGGTGGCGTCTGTTATGCTCTTGGTTGACCGGTAATGTACAAGTATCGCTAGGTTTGGTTGATCATGAGAAGGTTTCCGCTGTAATCAGTAACCGCTCTTGCAGTCGAGGGTCTTTCTTTTACCTGTTTTGCGTGTATCTCATTTGAAGTCATTATTGTGTTTGAACAGGTTGACAGGATGGCAAACTTAGGGTATATCTTTGGGGTGTGATCTGTGCCTTCTCAAAGTTTATTCTAGAGGTGATGAGAAGTATTGCATCGAAACTTCCTGAAGTTTCATGTCCTTAATCCTCTAGTACTGGAAGGCATCGGCAGTCCCAGGAATTAAAAATAATGGCTCCCCGATTTGACTTTGGTGATTGGTGGTCCAAGGAGGAGCATCAGGGAACACCAGTTGTAGTGAAAATGGAAAATCCGAATTGGGATCTGTTAGAAATCGATGGCCCTAACCAAGGTGGTGAGATTGGCAAAGGGAGGAACAAGAACGCAAAACAGCTCACGTGGGTATTGCTACTGAAGGCACATCGAGCTGCAGGGTGTGTTGCATACCTTGCAACGGGATTGTGGACGCTGCTGGCTGCTATACAGAACCGTCTAATTGCTCCGAAAGCTTCTGGCGTGAAGCTTGACAAACCTGTGAAGGGGAAATTGTACAGGTTCATCAGGGCATTTTTGATCACTGCTCTAGTGATGTTGGGCATTGATTACGGTGCGCACATGCTCGGGTGGCACTTTGCTGCCCCAACTGGTATCAATCTGTGGAACTTGCCTCATGCAGTTTACATGGCTTGGATGGTCATTCGATTGCAGTATATTGGTCCGGCTCTGCAACTAGCTGCCGACAGCTGCATCGTGCTTTTTCTTGTTCAATCAGCAGACAGAATAACTCAGTTCATGGGGTGTATGTACGTTAAGCTGAGGGGGATCAAGCCAATTCCGGTGGATCCATCATTCGAGTCCGATGACCCCGAGCAGCCCGACAAAGGATACCCTATGGTTCTGATTCAAATACCCATGTGTAATGAACGAGAGGTCAGCGGATTGTTTAACCTTCAAAATTTTCTTGTTTCTTAAAGTTGCAGCTGTGGATGCGTTTCAATGCCTTTTGAGGTTCTTGATGTTGTAGTTTTGTTGTCATTCGGCTGTTTCCGGATTTAGGTTAAATATGGAGGTCTGATTCTTTTTTGAGAGCTCTCCCTTGTTGTGTCCAGACGTGCAGAGATAGGAAAGCATTGTCGAAATTGTGCATCAAGCAGTTGTTTGAAATCGGGATTCACGAAAAGAATTTATGATCTAACTGCATTGCTTCTATTGGTGGCGACAGGTGTACGAGCAGTCGATTTCTGCAGTGTGCCAAATAGATTGGCCTAAGAATCGCATGCTAGTACAGGTTCTTGATGACTCGGACGATGTAGAGACGCAGGAGCTGATTGCGGCTGAGGTTCACAAATGGCATCTCAAGGGCGTTAATATTATCTACAGACATCGCGAAAACCGAACGGGGTACAAGGCGGGTAACCTGAGGTCAGCCATGGAGTGTGAATATGTGAAAGACTACGAGTTTGTGGCAATTTTCGATGCCGATTTTCAGCCCAAGTCAGATTTCCTGAAGCGTTCCATGCCCCACTTCAAGGTGCTGTTTGGTGTCACTGTGTGTGGTATGAGTTCCTGTTTGATGTTATGCGAATGTTGCCTGTTCAGTATCTATCGCGTACTGTAGGGACCACTGAACTGATGCCTAGGTGTGCCTGGTTGGTTTTGATTACAGGGCCAGCCGGAGCTGTGTCTGGTGCAAACACGATGGGCATTTGTGAACAAGGATGAGAACTTGTTGACGAGGCTACAGAACATCAACTTGTGCTTTCACTTTGAGGTGGAGCAACAGGTGAATGGGCACTTTTTGAACTTCTTCGGATTTAACGGCACAGCCGGTGTCTGGAGAATTAGCGCTTTGGAAGATTGTGGAGGATGGATGGATCGGACAACTGTGGAGGATATGGATATTGCAGTTCGTGCCCACCTTTGTGGTTGGAAGTTTATCTTCCTGAACGATGTTCGGGTACGACTTCGACCTGGCACTTTTCTGCTTATACCTGTGCTACAGTTAATGAAAAATATATGCTGCAGTTAACGTATGTGCATTTGCCATAATGAGCTGGTTGCCATCACTGCATATCTGATAAGGTTGTGCGTGGCTTGCAGTGTTTGTGTGAGCTTCCGGAGTCCTACGAGGCTTACAGGAAGCAACAACACCGGTGGCATTCGGGTCCCATGCAACTGTTCCGTCTATGTCTACCAGATATTATTAAGTCCAAAGTAAGTATTCGTGGTGCACTTGTCGTTTCGATTTGGTGCAGTATCTCATTTGGTGCTCAATTTGCATGGTGTGTTTACTCCAGTGGGTATTAATGTATGTGCATGTTGCATGGTGTCGCAGAAAGTGACGGCTCTTCAGAAGTCAAACCTGATATTCCTGTTTTTCTTGCTAAGGAAGCTGATTCTGCCGTTCTACTCGTTCACCCTCTTTTGCGTAATTTTGCCGTTGACTATGTTTGTGCCGGAAGCACAGCTACCGGTGTGGGTGGTGTGCTACATTCCAGCAGTTATGTCTTTCATGAATATTCTGCCGTCACCGAAGTCGTTCCCATTTTTGATCCCCTATCTACTGTTTGAGAACACTATGTCGGTGACCAAGTTTCAAGCTATGATATCTGGGCTATTTCAGCTGAGCAGTTCATTGGAGTGGGTTGTGACGAAGAAGTCTGGCAGGGCGTCCGAAGCGGACCTGTTGGCCGGTGTACAAGATTCGAAGCCTCAAGACCAGCTTCAGAAGTTAAATCGAGTGACTTCGGAATCCGCACTCGAATCTTTGAGGAAGGAGAACAAGGACAGCCCTGTAGCTGTCCCAAATCCAGCTCCGTCGCTGAAAAAGAAGAAAAAAAATCGTTTGTACTGGAACGAGCTTGCTTTGGCATGTTTGCTCCTCACAGCGGCCATGAGGAGCCTGCTCACAGAGCATGGGCTTCACTTCTACTTCTTGCTTTTCCAGGGAATCTCGTTCCTGGTAGTTGGGCTAGACCTGATCGGGGAGCAAGTGAGCTAATCTGTGTAAATCATTGAAAGAAGAGGAGTGGCGGGCCCCTATTGAAATCTCGTGTGTCTACCCCAAATCATGAGTTGCTTACGTAATAAAGCGACCTCGGGGCGCTGAAAAACCCTGTATTTGGTGCAGCCACATTGAAGGAATGCGAAAGGATTCGATTGTGCGATTGCAGGTGCAGTCGTAGTTGATGCTCCAGCGAGGTCCTGAAGTGTCAAGTTTTTGGATAGACATTGGGTAGGACCCCAATGCCTTCAATACCTCCTCAAGGTCCTATCAATGTCTATCTGAAGTTTTTGGATAGACAAACCATTGGGGTATACCAGCCTGCACTGGGTACGCTCGTCATTGCTAAGCACCCTAATAGTATTTGTTTCAACATCAGATCATTCTTTTGAGCCAACACATTTATTCAGTTGCCTTCTATGATAGGCGCTAGCATTTGACAATATGTATTAAAGATTGCGCCTTGGGCTTATGTGAATAAACCATTAGTTGGTGTCAGTACTGCACACCAGTGATGTATGTTTCTACATGCAGCAGTGATACATCTTTTCAACACGTCGAGCTGCTCAACCTAAGAAATAAATGCGGTGATTCAATCGGCATCTGTGCAACGTTTTCCTCTAGTTGCTGTTCTTTCTGTTGAGAGTTTCCCCCAGACATTTGTGGCTAGTGATTGGAATCTTAGAGTCTATTAATTACAGATTTTTTTTGTCCATAACGATTGAATACCAGAAGTTCTTTATTAAGCACTCTCCCAGTGACCATTCGTGGCAGAAAAAATATATTCTGCTTGCGAACCCTGGTGGTTGCAATACTCAGTGTACACCAATTCAGCAATCGCCCAATTCAATCCGCAGTAGATATCAACCAGCTTTGTAGACCAGAAAGTTGTGCTAGCAAATGGTATAGGGTAGAATCGCACATGTTGTTCACTCTGTCCTTAGTTCTACAATCAGGATTAGATTTTTTTATTTTAGTTTGCTTAATAATCTGAACAAGCGATGTAAATGTATTGGTAAAGCTTTATTTTTTCATACTATTCCTTACGAAATGTTTTTAATGAAATATGTTCAATTCACTTCTCTACTTAATACAGATCTTTAAAAGGACAGTTCTCAATACTTTTATTTACGTTAGAATGCGTTACAATCAAATCAATATATACTAAAATTTGAAGAACTGTTGACGAAACAAGTTGAATTCACGATTTGTATGAACAAGAGTTGAGGAAATGAATCAGTTCAAGTTGACATTGCGCAATCGAACATAAATTCAACCGCCATCCATTTTATTAATAGATCTAGTCAAACAAATGTGCAATTGGTTCAGGGGGCTTTTCAAGCAACAAACTCATGCTACACAAAATGTTAGATTCCTTCCGTCCTATCATCAGCACTTATTTTCTAAAGAAGAAAAATTGCTGTGATGTGAAAAGCTTTTTCGAAATTCTCTTCATGGAACCCTCCCGTTCGAGATGTGATTATCTACCTGAACTCCTCTCTCGTAGCACTTTCACAGGTCATCTGCCAATTCATGATGTTGGGATATCGTGTGATCACCTACCAGAAGATCTCAGGACACTCTGTGGTCGCACACTACACCAACCTTCTCTAAGATCACACGCTCACAAAGCTCGATGTTCACCAACATTATTATTTTTTAAAATTCTTGAAGCATACTGTTGCCAAAAGAATGTTGATGTAGAAATTCACCCATGTTCTGAAAAAGATATTCTAGAGAATAATATGCATCGGAACGTACTCGACACCATTGTACATGACGGTAGTCGGTAGCGTTATGTTTCAAACTACTACCAGGCTGCTCCTAAGACAGATTACTTCACTGCTAGTCTAACTTTACTGAAAACTGGGTTATTAGCACGTAGAACGGGTATCACTGCAGGGATCGTGTGCTTCAAAGCAACATTCTCCAGTCTACGTATAATCCAAGCCCATTTGTCGCGCTTTCGCTTAGTGCACCTATCACCATAGAAATCATGAGCATTTCGTTGGGTTCAACCGATCGTGATCAAAACACTTATCTGGTAATCCAACAAACGCTACGCTTACTCCGACTTTCGCTCTGATTTCTCCGCCTGAAGTTTCGCATTGTACTCTTTGTCGCTGTCGAGGTGCCGCTTATGGTGATGGCTGCGCTGATGATATTCTTTCTTGCGCTTTCTGCTGTGACTCCTTTCATCATCAGAGAGGTCACTGTCGTCCGACATACTACCCTTTTGTTCCTCCTTCCGCCAAGCAGAAAGTCTCAAGGGCTCATCGTCTTCAGAGTCTGTACAAAATGAGAATTTAATTCACGCAGTGTCAAACGCCTCGGTCCAGTACTAATCGTGCACTCAAATTTCCTCAACATCACCAAACCGTCAAGAACGTATTTATTAAAAAACAAGTCAACAAGAACTAAAAGAAATCACATAGTAATAGTTGGAGAGGAAGTCGCGCGCGATGTAGATGGGGAACTGAGTGCAGTATGGTCATACCTGAAAGTTGTCTGTGATGCTTGCTACTCCGTTTTCTGGAGGAGCGTTTTTCTTTACTCTCGCCTGATCTGCTATCATCACTGTTCTCTTCCGACTCAGACTTAGAGCCATGTCGATGCTTGATAAGATTTTTACTCCGTTTGTGTTTCCTATGCCTCCTTCTCTTCCTTCTCTCGTCGCTATCCTCGTCAGAATCACTCTCAGAACTCCTTCGCTTCTTCCTTCTCTTTTTCTTTTCCCCACTACTCTGGTCAGAGTCACTGTCAGAGCTCTTACTGCGCTTTCTGTGCTTCTTATGCGACTTGCGGTCTTTCACATTAGCTTCAATGACGGCATTTGCTGACGCTTCCAGTCTCTGCTGCCACTTCAAGGGAGCTTCTTTCTTTTCCAAAGCTTTCCTCTTCTTTTCCTCAATCAGTTTGAAGAACTGCTTTCGACTATCCATAGGGTAAGCTGTAAATCAGCCCGTCTTGTCCACACCAATCCAAAACTATCTGCATGATTGGAGTCGAGAGGAGATGCCGGAGCATCTCATAGACGAAACACACCTATGTTAGCGAATTAATCTCACAATGACGTCGCCAAAAGTCTCCAGTTCTACAACCGACACTATCTAGATAATACACTTAACCTCTCAACACATACCATAGCAAATGAAAACGTCTAACAACCACGAAATGGCTTCACTCCCCATCAGGATTCAGAAGAGATCACCTCGACCACATGACTTCACTCCGACATCAAACCCAAAAAAAACCCACGAACAACATCACGCATTCAACTCGAAAAGAACCTAACCCATAACACAGTCCTCAAACAAAAATCCCCCATAACAGCTCTCCTAACAAATCCCGACAACCCAAACCACCAACCCCCCCCCAAAAAACCCTAAATCGGTCCATCTCACCCCACCGCCGCAATCTCCGACATTCACTAACTCGCAGCCCACATAAAAAATCTAACAACCCAGCTCAGAAAACACAACATAATCTTCAACCCAAAACGAATCCCACAACTTACTACGAAATAAACGAAAATTCCTCACAGCACCCACGACTAAACACGCAAAACTGAATTACCTGTCACAGTTCAATCCATCCACCCGCAGAGAGAGAGAGAGAGAGAGAGAGAGAGAGAGAGAGAAAACCCAAGAGGGGATCCCAGCTAGGCAAGACTAACCAGAAACCCTACCTCAAAAGAATAGTATTCCGACGTCGCAAATCGATGGGTGGGATGGGGGTGGGGTGGTGTATGGTGGGTGAGTGGGTCAAGCAGCAGCAGCAGCAACAGCACCGCAGGTGACGACGGAGTACTACACTTCAGTCCTGTTGGGGCTCTCTCTCGCTCGCTCTCTATCTCTCTCTCCTTCCTTCCTTTTCATTCATGCTCTTCCTTCTTCTGATTCTTCTGCTTCTACTACTTTCCTCCTTCTTCGTCCCCACCCCCAGACACACTTGGTCTGCGTGCCTCGAGCATTGAGCTCCAGTCTGGTGCTCCTGCCTCTTCCACTCTAAACCATCACCATCCTCACCGTCCGTTCCTTCGAATGCCAGATCGTGCCAGCGTGGCGTGATGCTGGGGATGGCGCGCCTTGAGAAAGGGGGAGGGGGCTCCCTCGAGGGTCCGAAAGCCACACCCTCGCGTGCAACGGACGGACGGACTGCAAGTTGGGCCCTCCCCTCCCTTGTGTGCAGCCTTGCGCACGAAGCTTCCTGGATTCTGCCGACAGTTGAACCCGCTGCCCGATCCAGGAGTAGGAGGAATCTTTTTTCTGTGGCTGCCCTATTTTAAAATATTAACCGACTGCCCGAGTCTCCTTCACCGATTCATCTGCAGAACTGATCTCTCTCTCTCTCTCTCTCTCTACTTCTGTTCTGTTGTTCTTCCAGAAGTTTCGAATCTTTTTTTATGTTGGGAACAACGTATGAATTTTGTCTCACATTTGGGCTATTTATGTGTTTAAATATATCTATAAACTCTTTTTTAAGCACATTTATGTTAAAAATAAGTATTGGGGTTTAGTTCTCAAGTGTTCCTTTAAATTTTTAAGTTTTATTTCTATTTATTATTATTTTTTTTATAAATCTACTTAACCAATTTGGAACTTTAGATGGAGTAATTTTTAGTAATTGCAATGTTCTATTTGAAGACAATCAATAAAAAATGTGGTATGACATGAATAAAAGAATCATTTATTGTGAATGGATTTTTAAAAGAAATTCTTAGTAAGATTATTTTGTGATGGATTCTGATACTATTTAACCATAGCATAATCTTGCAAAGTTGATACATTTGTGTTTGCAATACCTTTAATAACAAAACCCATTTTCAGGTTGTGCATATTCATTACTTGTTTTGAAAATCTCACACAACCTTTGCTTCAAACTACAACCAAGTTCCATGTGTTTAACATTGGCTGTAATAAAAACCTGATCAAATCCCATAAAATTTACTGCAAAATATAAATCATTAGCAAGCGTGGTGATTAATAAAATCACCATGAAATATTAAAATGGGTACTGTAATTGGAATGTGCAGTAGGATTTAAAACCACACCATTCAAGCGCACACATGCATTTGTAACACCAGTGATGGCCAGTTGCATTCCTCTAATGCTCTCCCCATAACCCAGGATTTAGTGACCTAATTTTCTGTTTTGTTTTAGTTTTTGAAACAATCTAGTGCTATCCCATTAACTTGCACCAGGGTTGCAGAAACAAAAGGAGGTTTCAAACCATGACACACATGACATTTGTTGAGTTCCACTCAAGGACTGGATTTCTATGCACAGACAGAAGCACTAGTTGAAACATTGCTCAAAGAATCTTCACTAGCTTTATTCAATTTAATCAGGGGAGTGAAATACCTGCAAAGTTGAATACATGAGGCTTGCATTGGAAGCACTGATGTAGTGGTTCCCTACTTTAGGTTGTGAATTATAGTCATGCTTACATGACTCATGATACTACTTCACGAACTTAGCAGCACACTAGTGTACTAATCCAGAATCCTTCTTGCTTACAAGATCACAAGCAGAGCATGCCAACCCATACCGATCGAAAAGTAGAGAGAAAAAGTGAGTGCAACAAGTCTCAGGTCAGTTCACATCCACTGAATTAACCATCAAACCACACATCTTCCTAATTGAAGTCAAGGCTGGAACAGGCGAGAATTAACTAGACAACCTAGCAAGCAAGAATGTAATGCATCCAGGATGACATGCGGAATAGGAAGCAAGCAAAATGCGACGAACTTTTACTTCAAACTCTCACAACGCTACGGGAGAGCCCGAACAAATTACATGGTCAATCTATCAGGTTGTATTTCTTTAGGCACAGAAAGCTCACAGAAGCATATCCTCAATTACATGTGTAGAAAATGGATGGAAAATAACTATTGAGGGTAAGTAGTGCCCAACTAGATGATTAGAACTGAACATAAACAGCAGTAATTAATTTCGACTCGGCTGTAGTTATCCGAAACAAATTTATAAGATGATGCAAGAACAAAACCTGTCCCAATGCTGAGAGGACTTGCACCGAATTCAATCAGAGTCCATGGCAAAAGCGTAGAGTGACCACCCAAGCAGATTCACATGATTCTAGAAAATTTGATGCTATTTGATGAAAGATAACCTTATTGCAAAGGAACGAAACGAAGTGTCTTAACAAGGGCATTTGAAAAGCGACAAAAAATAAAAAAATCTATCAGCCGGGCTCATCCCTTCTGCCATATGTCTTCATGCTTTAATCAACAATGGTTATTATACAGACCTAAATTGATACCTCTCGGTAATATACAGATGTTGATTGATTGATTGATTAATTAATTGAATCTAAGTTAACTCTGCTCAGCCCCAGTTCGTGTTTCACTAAAGAACAAAAATGTGTAAAATCACCTGCTGTAGATCCAAAATCACTAGAACCCAATGTTGTGAAACAGGCTCTGAAGACTTCTAGGGGTTTGATCATCTCCCTGAAGGAACCATCGGCTACCGCTCTTGCTCTCATCGGGCAACGAAGCACCTCCCATGACGGTCGAAATCCTATTTTGAACCCTTACCAAATCAGCCATTTCATGGACCACTTCCAAGGACTCGGACAACCTGGAAAGAAGGTTCACGAGAGCTATCACCTCATTACGTTGAAGATCAAGCCCGTTCTCTCCATCCACGGAGAAGAGAATTTTCAAAGCTGTTCCTAGACCTGAGATTTGGAGCTTGCCCCAAAGCCGGCACTTCTCGCAGCCGACGCAATCCATCAACGCAGTAATGTTACGAAAATGCTTCTGCAACTGTTGCTTCAAATCATCGGCATCTGGTCCTCGCCACATTTTGGCCTCATCGAAAGGGATGGGACACGCGGTGCGGAGACGCTCGCTGCCAACTAACGCTACCATCAGCTTGTGAGTAAGATGATCCTCGGCGTCGTTGCCGGTAGAATACTCAGCTTCAGACAAGTATTTCTCGGCCTTCAGCAGGGCTCTCAAAACGAATAGGTACGTGAAGTAGAGGTTCTGCACACGCTCAGGATGTCGAAGCACGCGATCATGCATCAGAGAGGTATTCCTCCCCCACAAATTCGTGGACTCGTCCATCAGGTAATCCGCAGCAATGTGGGTGGAGATGGACGTGTGAAGCCCTGAAATGAGTCTGTAAAACACACGTCTCTCGGTGCACGAGTCCTTTTCCCCATTCTCGAAACAATTTTGAGAATAAATGGCCTCCCAAATCCGACGAGCAGACTCCCCTTTGTACCCAGTGTACTTCTCTGGATTCAAGAGCAGGTTCACGTAGGTCAAGTCCCCACTCTCGGTCTCGTCATCGATAGTCCAGGGATTGTCCTTATCAACCCAACCATGAAAAGCTGTGGCATCCAGGGTGCGATCGACAACCCCCTCAGGTCTTCCTTCTTGACAACTCGCGTCCTCCGAGGATCTAAAAGCAGCCGGAAACTCACTCTCCGGGCACTCACACACGCTACAATCCCGCAGCTGGCACATACCATCGTCAGGCCAGAACGGACAATCACACCACAGCTTCACCTTGTAATAACGGAAAAACGGCGTCTTAACAAGCTCCTGGAGCACGAGATGCAACACTTCTTTGTTCAGAGCATCCACGGTGCTATAATCGCAGCAACAATCTTCCACCACACCCTCAAACGCCTGCCCACTCTGACACCCACATGAACTCGGGCTGTGACCCAGCAAACCAGGCTCAACACCCGCCCGAGGCAACAACGAACTCAACACCACAGCCATCAACACAGCGAGCAAAGCCGTCCACACAACTGATCGCCTCCAGCTACTCTTCCTCGTGCTGCTGTTCTCCTCCGCCATCGCCACCACCTCCTTCACCTCCACACTCCTGGTCTCGTCTTCTCCTTCCAAACCCATCTCGCCCAATGCCTTCTCTCTCTCTCTCTCTCTCTCTCTCTCTCTCGCCCTCTCGCTAATGTCACTGCAACTCCATATCTACATCCACAAAGACAACGCCATTTGCTTTATACGGGATCAATCTCTAACCAACGCAGCTCTGTCTTACTGTGTCTCTCTCTCCCTCTCGAGAAAGTAAAAACACCGATCGTGGGCGCGAGATTGAGTGGAGGAAACGCCGGATGGCGACTCAGCGAATCGCACACCGCTATAAAATTCATTGCCAGAGATTTGATCCCCATTATCATATTCTTCCGAGCATGGGATCCTTCTTCGCAGCGAGGTCATCGACGACGCCCGCAGCGAAATTCAACCCTAAGCCCATTGCTCAGTTGTCCCTCTCCTATTCGTCCACGTGTTATTTATTGCTTGGTGGGAATACATAAGAAGTGACGTGGTTGACACATCATCGGTTTGCGTTTGGCGCGGTACACGTGGACGTGACGGACGAGGTGGGTGTTGACCTGGTGGCATTGCCAGGTGGAGGGTTGAATCCGATGTGGCGGTGGGTAGTTGGGTGGAGTGAGTTCTTTGATGGTTCCGATTGGCTTCGAAGGTTGGTTGTGAGGTGCTGCTGTGCCCCGGGTTGGTTTCATCCGTGTTTTGGATGAATGTTCCAGGCCGTTCGTGACGAGGATAAGTTGAGCAGGTGTGTATTTAGTTTTAATTTTTTACATTTTTAAATTTTTTTAAACACAACATGGAGTACACATAAATGTGTTTGGTAGATTTGAAAGATATACAAAGATTTGGAAAATGTACTAAGCTTCTTGTGCCATATACCTCAAAAAAACCAAGATGCAACTGAGAATAGATGAGCCTACCTTTTTTAGAATAGATATGATAAAATAATCTATTGCATCTTTTAGGTATCCATAACTTCATGCATTGTTAGACCATATTGTATAAATCTGAATACTATGTAATATTCATGTCTATTCTTTTTTGGAGTAATTTCTTGGCCATCTAAGTCTTAATCCAATTTTTTAAAAATATATGATTATTATTATTTGATTGTTTTTTCACTTGTTACATGTGACTTTCTACATGATTTTATCATACTCTATTAAATTATCATGTATTAACTTCCTCATATGAATGTCACTTCACAAATGACCTTTAAAAGTAAAGATGTTACATTAAGTCTAAATAGTTGATTAATACAATTGCTTCAGAAGGAAACAAATTATATTGGAACTTACATCATTGTGTACTTACTTTGTAAATTTTAAAATTTGTAACTATAGATATATGAAACCATACGTTTTATTAAGACCTTTATATTAATTATGAAGTTGGAATACACAAGTAAGAATATGGTTTTTCTACTATTTTATATAAACCTATTTAGTCTTTGGTATTAGGAGGTGAAATCTTTTCTTCAACCAAATATTACCAATTTTAAAATAAAAATGTTAGATATGTTTCTAAAATTTTTCATCTTATATTATGAATTAAAAATATTTTTAAACATCATACTAATTCTTTAGACAAATTTTAGAATCATGAAAAAAAAATCTTTTTATATATGCAAATCATTTGTATGAAGTTTGATTATTTTAAGATAATGTATATATCAACCAGTAGAAAATTTAGATCTTACCACACGAATATATTCCAGAATTTTTAGTAAATTTTAGTTTCTTTTAAGTAAAAAAAAGACACCATGTTAGTCCAAACTTTTCTAGTTTTATTTCAACTTTTGGATTCAAAATTCTAATTGTATTATTCATTAAGGAACAAAAGGGGAATTTGACCAATTTGATTTTAGTGCTCTTATTTTAATTAGCATTAGTATATGTTTTGATATTTTATTGAATATTAGAGTGTCTATAATAAAAATAAAAACAAAAAACCAACAATCTATTATGCTAATAAGGTTTGCAAGTGTAAGTTAATTGTGTCATTGTGTAAGATTTTCTCAAGTCATTGTATGATTGATAATAAGGTTGTCAAGTATATGTTTTCTAAAATAATTAGAATTTGGTCTAATACATATCTTTATTGTAAGAATGCGTGTGTTTATTTATTTATTTATTTATTTATTTTTATTTTTTCTTTTGGACATTTATTTTCATAAGTATTGCTTCCTTCACAAGGTTTTAAGATAAATTTTATGGAACCAATTTAAAAAGATTATGAGCCTTCAATTGCTAAGAATGACTCTATTTCTATTTTAAAATTTAAAAAATATTTTCTTTAGTAATAATTTGAAGGAAGAAACTAATGTATAAAGCATGATTAATCATTTTAAATTAACTCTTTCTAATAACATCTTAAACAGCTCCACAAAAATTTGACTTCTACCTTTTTTTTATACCAAGTGCTTATTTAATGATTATATCCTTTATTGCATTATTTAATTCATATTTAGAAAGTACCTTAATTAGTTTAATATTTATATATGACATAACATTGTTTTGAATTACTTGTGTTAAAATTATTGACATCTAATTATTCTTGAAGTTTACATTGATTTTTTGTAAAAATAAATAAAATTCAAGATTTTTTTATTTGTTCACTTAAAACTATTATTGATTATCCATAATTGAATCTTTTTTATTTTTTGGTCTATAAATAATTATCTTTAAAATTCTTTTCCTCAAAGAATTCTTTAGTACATCTATTTCTATAAGTTTTTAATTTAATTTTTCCTTGAACTCATTGTCTTTTTATTTCATATATATATATATATATAGGGGAATGTTAAATAGACCTATGCTTTGATGAAGAATATTGTAATCATGATGAATGTGGTTGGTTTTTATTGGTTGCAAATCCAATAATGGAAAATGAATCTATTAATCATTCTTTTTTTCATGATGATTAGGATGGGTAGGTCAATTTAGTAAAAACTTGGGTCTATTTAACATTCCCCCCCTCTCTCTATACATAACCATTATGTCATTAAAAATATATATTTTTAAATTTTATGAAAGCTATTTAAGCATCATCATCTTGTAGATTGAATTCTAATTTTTATAGATCTCATAAACTTTCTTTTTCATTTTTACTTTTTGTTTGATTACGTTGTAATTTCAAAAATATTTATAACATAAAATAAATTTCTTGCTTTAATATAAAAAGAGCTTCTCAACCTTTCTTTGATTTATGCTAAATATAAATATCTGATAATCCTATAATTTATACATTAAAAATAGTTCATTTTAAATATAGAATTTTTCAATGATATTTTAATCTAAATTTAATAAAATTTTGATAGGAAGGTAGTTTGATTAGGTTGTATTTTCTACAAAAACATTATCTGAATATATTTTGTCTTAAAAAATACTTGTATTTGTATTTGTAATTTTTTTCTTTAATTTTTTTAATTCAAAAAAAAAAACTCAAGTTCCTATTATGTAAAAAAAAATAATCTAGTTAATATTTAGCTTTAAAACATTATTCATGTATTGATATCATTATTTGCAATTGATATGCCTTAAGATTTTTTCATGTTCTAATTATTCACAAGAATCTAAAGCGGATTGTTTGTTAAGAGGTCTATCAAATCTATCTATAATATATATATATATATATATATATATATATATATAAAATTTGGTTCCAATTTCTCAATTTGCATAACAATTGATAATACATGTAATGATCTACTATTTATAATTACTTTTATGTTGTCTATCAAATGCTTGATATGAGGAGCAATAAGTATTAGAAGCAAATCTAGATTATATTTTAGATCCAAATAGAACAAACCACTCACATCTTTGCTCTATTTGGATCTAATACACAATCTAAACTTGATTCAAATATAAAGAAACCTTCATCATATCAAAGTGGGTTTTCATGTTGTTGGATTCCATTTCTACAGAGCTTGTGTTCCTAAAACATTAGTTTGACACATTCAATTCTACTGGATTGAACACAACCATGTAACCAAATTCTTTTGGATGTATTAGTTTACCTCCAACATTACATGAAGCAAGTTAAGTATTTGTGTCTGATAATTCTTTCCACCTTCAGCAGCATTTTGATCATGAGCAATATTCTCTTGATTAATGCTCGGAATAGCCATCCTATGAGAATAATTAGTTTTTTAATTAAGTTTTTTTGGGTTCATAACTCTGGTGAAAACCTTTTGCATTTGAAGAAGCACCTTTCCAGATAGCATCTTGATTGTGAGGTTAAGTCTCAGTATTATGTTTTGTTATCAGTGCATCAATGTTTTGTAGTCACAAGTTCTATGATGTGTTATCAGACAAAATTCTGATAGGTTGTTTGTTACAATCAATCCAAATGAATTTTTTGTTTATTGGTAACAATACTGGTGACTATCAGTTCTGATTCCCATTCTACACCGGATTCTAAGGCCATGCAAAAGCAAGGGTCATTTTTTTTTTGTTATTTTTGGTTTTGTGCTTAGATTCTCTCACAAGCAGATCCATCTCAAAAGCCTTTAGGTCAAAAGTAGGATTCTACAATTAAAATGTACTTGTTTGTTTGTTTGTTTTCTTGTTTTTTTTCTTTTTTTTTTTCTTCTAAATTTTGGTGTAATAATAATATTAGTATTTCCAACATGCTTTTGATAGACTGTGCTCTAAGAGAAAAATATATCTTCTTAAGAGTCCTCTCCCAAATGATTTTTTTATTGACCATGCTTAGTAATTGGTTCAGTCATATAAAACTAGTCAAGAGGAGAAGAAGGGGGCAAAGAAGGGGGGGAGGCAGAAATGAATTTCTTCTTAATGAAACATGCAATATTTATATGTTTTTCTTAAGAACCAGTTTTTTAAAAATTCATGTATATATATATATATATATATATATATTTATATATACTTTTCTACAAATTATTACTTTAAGGTTTTAATTTGTGCCACAAGTAAAATGATTCTACATTATCACCAAAATATGAATTTTAGCATTGTATTGATTCAGTAACACAACAATCTCTAAGATTATATTTAAGATGTTTTTAGAATGTATATATATATATATATATATATATATATATACATGTTAAAATGGATTTGATACAAAATAGACTGTTTTTATAACTTTCATGTCATTTATTATTTTTTATAAGAAACAAGAAGATATACTTTCAGGACATTTAAAATGAAAAAAAAAATACAAATTTAATAATCTTAACAACGAATTTTTACATTTATCACATTTAAGAAATAAAGTTTGATCATACATATTTATTAAAGTGAAATAAAAAATAATATGAATGAGAACAGAATAAACATAAAGACATGAATAAGTG